CCTTGTGACAGTTAAACTCGCTTCCCCGATCGCGATTCACTGGCCATTTTTCCTCATTTTGTGCTTCGCGATCGCGGCCAATTACACGTGATCGCATTGCACACTGTTGTAGCCAAAAACCAGCAGCTATAAATGGCCTAGAAATGGTCCGAAACCACCCTGAAACTCACCCGAGCCCCTCGGGACCCCGTCCAATCACACCATCCAGTCCCAAAACATAACACGGACCTACCCGAGGCCTCAAATCACATCAAACAATATCAAAATGACGAATCACACCTCAAATCAAAATCTATGAACTTTGATCTTTTAAATTCTATATCTTGTGTCGAAACACATCAAATCAATTCGGAATGACTTTAAATTTTGCACACAAGTCATAATTGACATATAGAAGCTATTCAAATTTCCAAAATCGGATTTCGACCCCGATATCAAAAAGTCAACCCCCCGATCAAACTTTTTAAAAATTCGACTTTCGTCATTTTAAGCTTAATTCCACTACGGACCTCCAAATAATTTTTCGGACACACTCCTAAGTCTAAAATCACCTGACGGAGCTAATGGAACCGACGGAACTCCATTGTAGAGTCGTCTTCACAATTTCCAACTATGGTCAAAATCCTAAGACTTAAGCTTCTATTTTAGGGACCAAGTGTCCCAAATCACCCTGAATCATCCGATTACTGAATTCAACCGTGCACGCAAGTCAATACACATAATACGAAACTGCTCAAGACCTTAAGTCATTGAACGGGGCGTTAATTCTTAAAACGACAAGTCGGATCATTACATTTAAACACTAAAATAATCAAAAATGTCCTATTTGGAAAAAGGTAACAGCTACAGCAGCTTTCTACTTCCAAAATTGACCTAAAATTATGAAACTCATCTATTTATAGTGAGCTAGAATTCGCTGACAAAAATGCCTCTCGGGAGGTTCTGCGGCTGCACAATTCCATGTGTGGTCCACAGATTTCTTCAGTTGGCATGAGATGGAATTCTGCAGCCGCACATTTTTGGATTACGGCTGCAAAGTATCTTTTGCGGTCGCACTTCAGCAAGGAGTCAGGACTTGGAGTTGTGCACACTCTCTGAACTTGTAATTAATTTTTAGTACAGAAGTTGTTCTGCGACCGCACATTGGTCAAAATCATGTTGGGTTCTGTTGCTTGGTTTGCGGCCGCAGATGGAATTCTGCGCTCCGCAATTTCTTCTGCGGACCGCACTTTTTTATCTCTGCGCCCTTTAATGCCTTGTGCTTTGGAACACTTCTTTTTTAGTCGGATTTCATCATGGTAGACCAAACTTCCAATATTCCTGCAATTTGCATAATTACATTAGTTTCGGGAACGTAAATCAATACTTTCGAACTAAAACAAAAGCAAAAAGATGCTAATAAGTAGTCAAAATCCCCACTTATCAGCCACCAAAAAGCAAAACTTTATGGCTTTGTCTACTGCTGAAGGTGAGTATGTGGTTGCTGTCGTTGTGCTTAATTGTTGTGGATTAAGCAACAATTAATGGATTTTGGAATTGATGTAGGTTGTATCCCTATCTTTTGTGACAACACTAGTGCAATTAGTATGACTAAGAACCCGATTCATCACAAAAGAACTAAACATATAGATGTTAGGCATCATTTTTTAGGGACAACTTTGAGAAGGGTTTGATCGTTGTGGAATTTTGTGCTACTGACAAGCAAATAGATGACATCTTCACAAAAACTCTAAGTCTACAACTGAGGGGGGAAGAACCGGTTTCATCTGAAATTGAACAGGTAACTTCTGGGTTAAAAGTTTCATCTGATGTTGTTTCTGATGTTGCTGAAAATCTTGAGAAAAGATTTGTTCTGGTTGGTACTATCACTGGTGTAGAATCTGAGTCTGGAAAAATAAGTGGTAAAAATAAAAAGGAAAAAGAAAAAGTGAGTGAGGGTATTAAACTAGATGTGAGGGAAAAGGGAGAATGGGGAGTGGTTGAATATTCTTAACCCACTCTTGTTGGTTTGACTGAAGAAACAGAGGCTATGATGTTATGTAGTGAAGAGGTTGTTGAGAAAGAAAAGCGTCTGAGAGAAGAAGGAGGAAGTGGGTATGGAGATGCTAGTGCAGTAGATGGGCTGGTTAGGCTAAGTAAAAGGTTCCAAGAACATGTTCCATCTAGGAAGGAACCCCTCCATGACCTACTGAAGAAAGTTTCTGATAGATACAATCCAAGGAAGAAGAAAGGTTCAGGAGTTAAAATCCCTGGAACAGCTATGGGTGGCAAGAAGAGAAAGGTTTCCTCTTCTATCCCTATAGAGACTCCTCCCATAAAAGGAAGAACTACAAGGAATCAGAGGAAGCAGAGTGAGGCTGATCTAGAAAAGGCCTTAGCTGAGAGTAAAAAGAAAGTTGTTGCTAAAGGAGAGAAGAAGATAGGTGAAACAAGTGAAATAATTGAGATAGAAGAGATGGATCATGGTCCTTCATGATGAGGATAAGGGTAGAGGAAGTGGGGGTTGTGACTCCAAGTGCCAAAGAAAGAAAGACTTCTAAGAAGAAGTCTCCGGAAAAGTCTGTTGAAAGCTCTGCCTTGGCAAAAAGAATCAGGTCTGCCAGGAAATCAAGCAAAGTGCAAATTGTGGAGGAGGAAAGTGAAGAAGAGGAGACTGATAAAGAAAAAGACAAGGTGGTCAAGTTCCAAAAGAGAACAATTCTGAAGTAGATACTTCTCACTCACTTAGAAGATGAAGGAATAGTATTGTTGCTGGAGAAAATGGAAATTCAAGAATGGAAGGACATGGTCCTTCAATTGGAAGGGAGGTTAGTCTGAGCTGAAATTGTTGAGTTCTTTGCTAATTGTGGGAGTGTACATGGAAGGGTTAACAGTGAAGTAAAATGAGTGATGGTGAGCTTTGATGATAAAGAGCTAGGGGGAGATTCTAGGAGTGCATGTTGATGGATACAATGATTTCACTAAGTTGAATGGCATAGTCTAGAAGGTCTTCCTACCTCACTAGCCATCACCAGGAAGTTTGCTGATGGGGATTTGGAGCAAGAACCTAGGACTGTTTATAAAAGTGAAATGAAACCTGCCCACAAAGTGCTCTTTAAGTTTGTCAACAAAATTGTTCTACCTAGGCAGGAGAGAAGGCACATTGCTGCCTTCATGGACCTGGTCCTTATGGAGTGCTTGGTCGGGATTCATAATCCAGCTCCTAAATAGGGTGGTTTGTGGAACTAAAACTCATGGCGTCCCCAATGGTTTTATTCTCACTGTTGTGCTTGCTCACTTTAAGGTTCCCCTCAAGAAGTGGGATGTTTGCACAAGTAAATATTACGTGGGTTCCAACACTTTGATTGACTGTGACTATGAAGTCATTACTGCACCCAAATAACCTAGTTCATCCAAGAGGGTGCCCAAGAATAGCAAAGTGAGAGCTTTGGAGCAGGAGAGTGGGGCTAAGGATGCTGCGATTGAATGATTGAAGACTAGGTTGGCTGAAGTAGAGGCTGAGAGAGACTCTCTCAAATCTGAGCTTGCAAAGGAAAGGGAGAAGAATGAGGGAATATTTCAAGATATGCTGAAACTGCTTCAGGCCAAGAACCAAGAATTGGTCCTTCCCAGTCTTAAACCCTTCCTAGCCTAGTTTGTAACCACTGATCTAAGTGGGATTTTTTTTTTCAGTTTGCTTATGGTTCAGTACTTTTATTTCTGTTTATGCTTTGTGGATGAATCTCATCAATGATAGTCACTGCTTTTGCTCTAATTGTTTGTTGATATTTCTTAGATGGCTAATATTCTTAGATTGATAAGAGAAAATTAAATTCATGATTGCATTTGAAGTAGCCTCAGTGGCCATGAGTAAGATCTGCTAAAATCTGGTTACTTAACTTAATTATGGAACTTTTCGATGATGCCAACGGGGGAAGATAGGTTGTGCTTTTGCTTTGAAATGTAATGTTTATAACCTAATGAACATGGTCCTTGATGATTTGTGACTTTAAAATGGAAAGTCTTCCAACTAGGAATGGCAAACAGTGCGGGGCGGTGCGGTTACGGGGCAAACCCGTGAAGGTTTCAACCTGCCCCGCAAAGTATAATTTGTTGTTTTTAAACCGCCCCGCGCAAACTTGCCCCGCATAAAAAAATTTAAATTTTTCTAATTTGAGAATATTATCAAAAGATACCATATTCCAATGCATTATAATTTATATATTCTTTTTTAAAAAAATTTATGCAGTTTTTCTTAATTTTTCTTTCTTTCGTTGGTGTTAACTCCACTTACTTTTGTGCATATGGAGTAATTCTATGTTACCTCATATTTTTCAACTTTCATATTGTGTAACTGTCTATTATAAATTAAAGTTGCTTTTCTTACAAACAATTTTTGGTTCCTTTATGAGAAGCTAACAATTTAGCACTTTTGCATTTCTTACATATTTCTTGGTAAGCTATATGTACTTTGACCTTTCATTTGAGACTTAAGCATCAAATTCTCTTGGAACAGAGATCATAGAATCCGAAAAAAAAAAAAGGAATTCTAACTAATCCCATAAAGCAAGAGTACATCTCATCTGGGCTCTACCAAAAGACAATCTCTTTACCATAAAGTTTGCCATTCTTCAGCCGTTCTTAGCTGCAACAATTAGCAGCTCACATTCAAAACTCACACCAATGCTATTCAATTCAATTCCTAAATAGAATGAATTGAATAGAAACCAGTAACTCTCATATGCAAACATGTAGTCATCAATAATCCAAGGCAGCAAATCACATATGGTTGTCCGCTGAGCAGTATTGAAAATCTAAAATAACTTCTATTAAACACAATTCAACAAACAACCAATAATTAATCCAAAATAGTAATAATGACAGAGTACATCCCAAGAACTCAAGAAGTAGGGGAAGGGTAGAAAAACAAAAACTAAATGGAATTCATAACTTGCAAGGATAGTAGTTCATTTACTTTCACATAGAGGGAGAATTGTTAGTAAAATTGTAGAAAACAGAAATTTAAAAAGATCTAAAACAGGTCAATTAGCAATATGAAATTTGGGGATGCCAATCCTTCCAATTTGTCAGGACTCTTAGATAGTACATGTACATATGAATCTTGAATTACTTTGTTGCCTCCATTCAATACAAAACAGGTAAATAAATATTCTGTTACAACTTGAATAATTATGATTCTACGAGAAGTACCACCATCCTGCAAGACAGAAAAACAACATGTCAATTATAAGTTAAACTATTAGAATTCATCATATAAGTACATAGAAAAGTCAAAAACTAAAATATCCCTCTAGCTTCCCTATAAGAAAATAAACTCAATGAAAAAAAACTTAATAGTAGATCCTCATGGACAACTTCTAATCTTCTATCAAGCAACTCTTCTTCATCAAGCAACGTCGGACATGAAACTCTATCAATACTTGAAGTCGAACCTAAAAAGAAAAGTATAATAGTATAAGAAATTGAAAACTATTATTAACATAGTAAGTCATTAAAAAAGTTACTTATCATTTATCTCGTTCCATAACCAAGTGCGAGCACACATCAAAGCCTCTAAAGTAGTAGGATGAAGTCTACTACGATGCGGGCTAATCAATCTCCTGCTAATGCTAAAGGCCGATTCTGAAGCAACGGTAGAGACAGGAATGGCTAAGAGGTCACGAGCCATCTTTGCAAAGTAGGAAATTTTAATCTGATTGTCTTCCACCAGCTTAAATTGTCAAATGATGGCGTACGAGGTAGCACATTTTCTTCTAAATATGAATCCAACTACGATATTGTGTCCACGTTCGCGCTACTCGATGTGACAAACCTATCAAAACTAGACAGTCAATCACCCTCAACAACACTAGCAACTTCATTAGAACTAGATGCCTGAAATAAATCATGTGAAGCAACCACTCTACTCTTATACTCTTGAATGAGATCAAAACAATGATTTTGAACTTCATGAATTTTATCTAAAGCTTCTTCACCATAAATTTGTATAAGATAGAACTCCACTAACTTCACCTTATATCTCGGATCAAAGATAGCAGCTACACCTATCAAAATATGCATATCATCCCAATATTTTTAAAATTTTAACAATATTGATGATATCATAGAGCTAATCAAAGGATTTAAACGTTTCACCCAAACTTCCAGTTCTAGCTTAATATCACAAACTTTTAAAAAGTATTGAGTTGAAGTTGGATATTGACTCCCTGGGAATTGTTCAGTGATACGGTGAAACAACTTCAACTTTTCACAAACTTCTCGTGCTGCACTCCATTGCCCTTCGGTTGGAAAACAACGATAATTGGTGTCATTTATACTCAACTTCGTAAGCACCTATTTGTAATCTAGGGGTGTTCTCAACATAAGATATTTTGAGTTCTAACGACAACTTTTTAGTACAAGAAATATGTAGCAACCGTGAAGCTTCTTCAAACCTTTCAATTCTGCCTGAAGATGATATCCAGTATAAGACACTATAACGCACATTGCTAATACCATATTCTATCACCTTTAGTCCTTCTTGAACAATCAAATTTAAGATGTGTGCGGCATAACGCACATGCAACATTCGACCCATCAACAATAAATCCCTCTTACAACGTTTCTCATCTAACAAGGTTTTTATCATAGCATTGTTTTTGTTAGAATTATCAAGTGTAATTGTTGATATTCTTCTTTTAAGATTCCACTATAACAAGAAATTAAGCAACGCACTACACAAAGTATCATTATCATGTGGAGCAGGAACATAAATAAATCTAAGAATATGGCTTTGAAGCCTCCATGAATCATCACTAAAATGTGTCATAATAGCCATGAACCCTTTTTGGTATTGTTTGAAGTCCACATATCAATTGTTATTGCAATTTTACTTATGAGTTTTTCCAACAACTTAAAAGTTTTTGATTTCAAATTGTCAAAAATCTTTAAAATATCATTCTTGATTGTGTTCCTAGACACCATTTTAAATAATGGCTGGAGACTAGCAACAAACTTCCTAAATCCAATATGATCGACATCGACAAAGGGTACTCATACAAAATGATGGCATGAGCAAGTTCCCTACGTGAAATATCCTGATCAAAATAATATTGTTGGCTACCATCGTCACCCCCCAAACCACCCCCATCTTCTTAGTCACTTGGCTTCTTACGACATCTACGAATATGATCCCACAAAGATGATGTCCCATATTTTCTTGTTGATTTGATACGAGTATTACAATACTTACAAACACCAAAGGGAACACCATCAAGCTTCACCACTTTGAAATATTTCTATGCTTTAGAAATAAGTTTTCTTTTACCCGTTTCATCACTAACTTCCATAGTAACTTCATCAGACTGCATAAGCCTTTGACTCTCAGTCTCAATAGAAATTGTACTTGAAGATGGACACACTAGATTTTGTTCGTCCTGAGACTCCATAATTTTCTATAAAAATAAAAATAAAAGCAATAGATCAATTACAAGAATGAAGTAGGTATTGATGTAACAATAAGTTCAAATAGACTATGAAAATCAACACAGCTCGCCAAATATAAGGGAGAAAACTTGTTTAAGCATAAAAACTCTTCCTATATGCAAATCATAGCATATCCCAAGCTCGAATAAAGTGGAGAGTTGTGGTAGGCCTATGGCCATATGAAAACAATCAAATTACTAGTTACAAAGAATCTTCTAGATTGAGATTAAGTCATAGTTGAATGGAAACGCATGAAATTACAACTCTATTGAATTCCAGCACAAAATGGTAAATTCGGTAATTTTTTAATTAGAAAATAGCTAATCATTTATGGAGATAATAAAAAGGAGAAATTCATATGTTCAAGATAAAGAAAGAGACCAAAGTAGAAAACTTCAGTATGCATGACCTAACAGCCAAAAGAGGTAAACTTTCCCACCAAAGTATACTCAATACGAACCCCTTACATTTTAGCATAATTTAACAAAAAATCAACCAAAACCCTAACAAGCTGGTCCAAAATGAGTCCAAAAGGAAAGTCAACAAATAGTCTTCGAATTACTTAAAAACAATAATTAATAAAGTCGTTATGTACAAGAAGTAGCATTTATAATCATATACCTTGTGGTCTTGTTCATTAAACAATGAAAATTTAAAGCTGCTGCACTAGCAAATTAAAGTAGGAAACCTTGTAAAAACATTCAGCTTGATTTTGCAGAAGAAAAAAGAAATTTCAATAAGAAATTCTATGGTATTAGCACTTACTAGAGAATGAGATCGTGACTCGTGAGATTGAGATTGTGAGAGACAGAGAGAGGGGAGAAAGCTTGGAGTAGTGGTTGCGTGACTGTCTTTTCAGAGAAACCTGGTAGCATTTTAACCTTTTAGGTTTTAGTTCAAAAAATTAAAATCTTGACGCGCGACTCGCGACCCGCGACCCGCAACCCGCCTCGCCCCGCGTTAATTATTTTTAAAAAAATTAGAACCCGCCCCGCACCTGCCCCGCCGCATTGTCATCCCTACTTCTAACATTGTGTTGATGTTGAGCTGAGTTGAAAGAGGTTTCATGATTCTGAAAAGCACAAAGTTTGTAATCATAAAAAAGGGGAAATTTATTGACCTAAGTGGTTTTGGTTTTGAAGATTGACAAAGGAACACATACATGAACCAGGTTCATGGATAGTGTACACATGTCACGATCAGATTCAAGCACAAGGCATGCACATGAAGGGATAAGTATAAGTAGTTATATCTGATATTCCCTGAACGAAAAGGTTGCATAATTGATAAGGAACAGGACTCCTTACTTGAAGAGAACTCTATCCTAGATAAGGAAAGAGTTAGAGATTGAAGTTAATTAGAACTCTTTCACCAAGGAAGAGTATAGCATTAGAGCTCTAGTTAATCCTAATCCTACTAGCTCTATATATTTTAGTTGTGTTCTCTTTTACAGGTGACGCACAAACGTTCAATTTAAGCAAGAATTGAGAGCAAAATAGCAAGGCATTTTGCAAGCAATTCCTGTGTGTTTCAAGTGTGCGAACCTGGAGCTACATGAACCAGATAGAAGAACCAATTTCATGTGTCTGTCTTTTATTCTAGTTCAATTGTAGTAGGACTTTTGAGTTGTACCTTTCAGCTTTCTTAGAATCAAATTGTATTAGGTGCTTGAGTTGTATTGTTCAAGTTAGAGTTAACTTAAAGCAGTCGCAACAACCTTTAGCTGGTTACTATAAGGGTTAAAGGTAATCCTTAGGTTTACAAGAGGCTTGTAAACACTGTTGTTTTGGCTCAGAGTTATAGTGAAGTTTTGGAAATATCCTACTGGAAAGTAGGTCGTGGTTTTTTCACCTTCTGAGCCGGGTATTTTTTATATAAAAATACGTGTGTTCTTTACTTTTTGTATTTCTTATTCCGCAACTGCAGTGTAAGGAACTCGTAGAAGAACCAGGCCCTTCTATAATCAGTGCACGCAAACAATTGGACACCATACAAATCACCCCCCCTCTTGTGTGGAATTGAAATATAAAACATCAGTCCAATCTTTATTTTGTTGTCTTATTTCTCTCTTAAGCTTGAAATATAACTTCTTAATGTGCCCCTTCTTGTTACAATGTTCACAAGTAACATTCATGTACCTGGACCTCGACTTGCTTCTACTTTTGCCTCTATCATTCTGACCTCTGAAATTGCTTCTCCCCCTGTCTTCAGTAACCAAAACATCAAAGTGTGAAGCTGAAGAAGACGAAGCTTGAGATCTTCTCCTCTTCTATTTATTTAAGACATCACTCTTAGCATATTCCATAGTTACAACACCACTGGGAGCAGAATTAGTCAAACAAACCCGAAGAGTTTCCCAAGAGTTAGGCAAAGTATTCAACCTATATTTCTTCATCAAATCTTACACCCATTACAGATAGCTGGTCTAGGAAACTTTAAAAATTATTTATATGATCATATATAGGACTGCCTCTTTGTATCGAATATTCATCAATTGTTTTAACAAGAATAATTTATTATTGTAGTCTTCGAAGCATAAAGTGTCTCGAGTTTTTCCCACAAACCTCTAGCATGTGTTTTATTTACAATATGATTTCGAACATTATCTTCAACCCATTGTCTAATATAACCACAAAGTTGTAAGTGCTCAAATTCTCAATCTTCATCAGATAGAGTTTCGGGTTTGTTGGAATCAAACACAAGTAAATGCATTTTCTTGCTAATCCTTATTATTCTATGTCAATGTAACCTTAACGGAGATCTTTCATCTTGACTTTCCAAATATGATAATTACTGCTATTCAAACAAACCATCTTTCTCATATTTTCCTCAATCATTCAAATAGACAATCAACACAACCAAATACAACCACAAGCTCTGAAATCACTTTGTTGGGAAATAACAAGCACAGGTAATGTGCACGACAAGGTAGCAGCAGAATAATACCCAAGTCAAACTTTCCCTATCTATTTGAACCAAGAAAAGATAAAAAATTCAATCACAAACGTATAAGGACAGCAAGTATATCAACCACCACAAATATATCAGGGTAAAATACTCAAACGCACGAGACATCAAGATTTACGTGAAGAATCCTCTTCAATGTGAAAAGTAAAATCCACGGGACCAAAGGCCCTAAAAGTTCCACTAAATAAATCAAAAAGAGTTACAAAAGTTCTCTAAATTGACCACAAATCAGTGCCAAACCAAGAGCAACAATAAAAATAAGATTGCACCAAAACAATTGAAGAAAGGAGAGAAATCACCCCAAAATTGAGCTACTGTTCACGCCTCCAGAAAGGAAGTTACAGGCCTTCAAATCCAATCGTTACCATTGAACTCCAAGAACCAGATGTTAGTAACTCCTAGTTCAAATTTGAGCATGATCCAATGGTTCACGAGTAAGATGTTCTAATTGAAGCGAACTGCCTGAGCAAAACTTTTCTAGAGCAAAAGAACACATTTTTCTCTCTCACAAGGCTTCAAAAATGGTTGTAGCCTTATGTTTTCTCTCTTGTTATGTTTTCTAACCTAAAATAGATCATATTTATATGTCTTGATATTAGTGGTCTATAGGGAAAAGTGGGCTAGGTCCAAACGGTATTTTATTTATCCACATAGGAAGGGAAAAAGCCCAAAAACCCAACAATTCTCCCCCTACCGACTATGTGGAGGATACCACCATCACGACGATCATGCAACACTCTTCAAAATTCCCTCTTGACAGAGCTTTAGTCAACATGTCCAAACCATTATCATCGGTGTGAATCTTCTCAAGTTCAAGAGACTTAGAATCCAATACATCTCTAATCCAATGATATCTCACATCAACATATTTAGACCTACCATGGAATATAAAATTCTTGCCAAGATGAATAGCACTTTGACTGTCGCAATAAAGCACATACCTCTCTTGAGCAAAGCCAAGTTCCCCCAAAAGTCTCTTCATCCAGAGCAACTCTTTACAAGCCTCAACGACAGCAATAAGCTCAGCTTTTGTAGTAGATAGAGCAATACATTTTTGCAATCTAGATTGCCAAGACACAACTCCCCCTGAAAAAGTAACCAAGTAGCCTGAAGTAGACTTGCGAGTATCAACATCACCAGCCATATCTGAATCAGTGTAACCACAAAGAATAGGTTTTCCTGGCCCAAAACACAAACTCACACTAGAAGTGCCACAAAGATATCTCATTATCCACTTCACCACATCCAATGCTCTCTTCCTGGATATAAAAGAAAATGATTAACAATACCAACATCATGAGAAATATCTAGTCTTGTACAAATCATTGCATACATCAAACTACCAACAGCTGAATCATAAGGAACTTTCTTCATGTCTTCATTGTCATAATCACTGGAAGGACACTGCTTCGTGCTCAATTTGAAGTGCATAGCTAAAGGTGTACTAACAACCTTAGCTTTATCCATGTTGAACCTGCAGAGTACTTTCTAAATGTACTTATCTTGCGTATACAACAACTTCTTGGTCTCTCTATCACGGACAATTTGCATGCCAAGAATCTGTCTTGCTGGTTCTAAGTCTTTCATAGCAAAATACTTGTTCAACTCTTGCTTCAACTTCTTAATCCTGCAAGCATTATGGCCAACAACAAGCATGTCATCAACATAAAGTAATAATATAATAAAGTCATCATCAGAGAATTTTTGCACAACAACACAATGGTCTAAAGAAGTCTTCTTGAAGCCATGCTAACTTATAAAAGAACCAAACTTCGTGTACCACTGCCTGGGAACTTGTTTCAAACCATACAAGCTCTTCTTCAACTTGCAAATAAAATTTTCTTTTTTCTTTGACTTCAAAACCTTCTGGCTACTCTATATAAATTTCTTCCTCTAAGTCACCATGGAGAAAAGCAGTTTTAACATCTATTTACTCAATCTCTAAATCTAGACTTGCAGCTAAGCCTAGAACAATACAAATGGATGACATCTTCGTAACTGGAGAAAAGATTTCATCAAAATCAACTCCTTTTTTTTCTAATTAAAGCCCTTGACAACCAATCTAGCCTTGTATCGTGAAACTGGGTTACCATCTTCATGTTTCACCCTGAAAACCCACATGTTTTTCAAAGCTTTTCTGTCTTTAGGTAGCTTAACCAAATTAAAGATATGATTATCATGCAAGGACTTCATATCATCCTTCCTAGTATCAAATCACTTATGTTTTTCATCACTATCCATGGCCTCTTTAAAACTTTCAGGTTTTCTCACATCAGTCAAGAGTACATACTCAGTAGGAGGATAACGAGATGAAGGTACTTTCTCTCTAGTAGATCTTTTGAGAGAACTCTCTGGAGCACCAATAGTAGCAGGTTATTGGTCAACCACTTCATCTTGCATTGGATCATCAATTGACCTACGTCCACGTGCAGAGATGAGCAATCCATTATATAAAAGAGAGTACAGAAATATCGAGAGAACAACCTCACAAAGAGGCAAATACAAGTGACAGATTAATACATGTCCCGAAATTCTCCCCTTAAACAAAACTCTCAAACCCCTTATGGATACATTGCGAATGCTATTGAATGAGAAGGAAGGATCCTCAATTTATAGAAGTCCAAGCATTTTCCTCCAAAAAAAGGGACTAGCCAAATATGGGAGATTTATAATTTCCTTCTAAGAAAGGAAAAACTCAATTATGGTAAATATGTTGTCCTTTCCTTCAAGAGATAGAAAAATCAAATATGGTAAGAAAATCAATACAAACACCTAACAATTCTCCCCCTGGCTTGAAGTTTTTGACAAAATAAACTTGATCCACCTTCCACATAAACTTCAATAGGTCGCATCTCCAAATCTTCACCACAAAGTTTGTCTCAACATGCGTAGCAC